GCGCCGAGGGGCTGCGAGGAAGGGGGGGCGACGGGCCGCGGTGGCCGCGCTCACCTTGCGATTTGATTTTTCTCGGGTTTCTCTGCTGTCTTTTGCGCTTCGCATCCATTTGCTTGGCGGTGGCGATGGCAGGCGAATGTGGATTGGCCGCCATAGGGAGTACGTTGCCGGTCGACGCGCGCGCTCGCTTCTGGTGTTTCGTCAGGGAGGTAGGCATCGAGGACGTCGACGACCTGGCATTTTTCTTTACCACGGTGGAGGCAGCCGCGGCCTCGGGACAGGAGGAGGCGCGGCGGCGAGCTCGGCAGCTCGCGGGGCATCCGCGAGTGGCAGCGTGGCACAGGGTGGCCCGCGAGGCGCAGTCAGCGCCGCCCGCGCGCAAGGCGGACGCTCCGCCACGCGCGCTGGCGATGGTCCTCCCTGGCTTGCGCCCGCCAAGAGGGGGGCGCGGCGTGCAGCGCGCGGCGGCGAGCGCCTCCGGCACAGAGGAGGCGGACGCCGCGCAGCGCGCCAGCGCGGCCGGGGCAGCGGTGCAGCTGTCCGCGTCCTGGGGCCCAGCGCACGGCTTGGCGCGGGGGCTCCCCGAGGGCCAGGCGCAGCGCTTGTGCGGACCCGGGTCCGCGGCGGCGAAGAGGCTGGCGCGCTTCGCGAGCGCGGGGGTCCGGGACGCGCTGCGCGTCTGGGCGAGATGGGAGGCGTGGGCCCGAGCACGGCAGCTCGAGCCCCTCTCCGCGGAGGCTGCTGGCAGCACGCTGATGGTGGACGAGTTCATATGTCATATGTGCGGTGAACAAGCCTCCGGGGTGCGCGTGTGGAATCGGTTGAAGTGGCTGCAGAAGTATCTCGGTGCGCCGTTCGCGCTCGAAGACGCGATGAAGCCAGACGCGCGGCCCGCGAGCAAAGCGGGGGGAGAGTTGCGGCAAGCGACCGTGCTCGAGCCGTGCATGGTATCGTTCCTGCATCAGATACTTGCCGCACAGGCAGCGCAGCGCGGTTGGCTCGAGGTTCCCGCCGCTGCAGCGATCGCGCTGTGCCACGGGTGGCTGAGATTCCAGCATTTGTCACGGTCGTACCCGATTGAAAGGACGAGAGCGCTGGCCTGGTTCAGATGTTACCGCGGAAAGCGCGGCGGATGTTTCGATTGGTGCCTGGTGCGGACCGCGGAGCCGCGTTGCGCAGCGGATGTGCTCTGGGACGCGTGGCATAAGCGCGCAGGGGCTGCCGGCGAAGGCGCCCCCCTGCCAAGGGGCCTCGCGGCGCACGAGGATACGGGGCAGCTCTGGCGTCTCGCGCACTTCTCAAAGTTTCTGCAGTCTGAGATCGGCCTTTGTCTGAATTCACCGCTCGAGAGGAAACTGATCACGTCGTACAGCCTGAGGCGTTTCATGCCGACGTTGGCGGAAAGCGTGCAGCTTCCGTGGACAGAGCGCGTTGTTGGCGGGGGCTGGACGCCCCGCGATGGTGGCGGAAGCACCGGCGCCCCGAACATGATGCCGTTGCGATACGCTGGAACCAGACGTGAGCAGCAGGGTTTCGTCCGTCTGTACATGCACGAAGTGTTTCACGAGGCCGTGGCCAGCTTGCCAGCCCCCCTGCGATTCGAAGGGGTCAAAGCTTGGTGGGATACGCCAGCCGCGCAGGAGGTCGCAGCGGGCGCGCGGCGCCGCGCGATGCAGCTGCTGGCGGCACAGGGCGCGCCCGAGCCCGCGAAGTTTCTGCCGCCGGCGGTAAAGAAAGAGCTGGCGCGCCGGCGGTTTGGCGCGTTCACCGCGTCCAATTACGGGGAGCAGAGCGCAGCGCTGAGGCGACAGTTCCGCAGCCGGGGCCGCCGCGCTGCCCAGCCGCCGCAGCGGCCGCGGCGGGCGCAGCGCCTGCGCGGGATCGCTGGTAAACGCGCGCTAGAGGAAGGCGAGATCGGCAGCGATGAGGAAAGAGACAGCCAGTCATCCGCAGCGTTGCCCGTCGAGCGGGCAAAGCCGGCAGCACAGCCGAGTGCCGGGGAGCTTGCGGGAGCAGCGGCGCCAGCGGTTGGAGCTGCCCCTGCGGCAGCAGCAGCGCAGGCGCAGGCAGCGCCAACGTCACCCCTTGGGGGCGATGTTGTTGCAGCAGCAGCGCAGGCGGGCGCATGCGGCGCCAGGGGCTTTGTAATTCGCGCGGAGCGTTTCTTTGCCGCGCAGGCGCAGGCAGCGTCACCGTCGCGGGCGTATGTGCAGGCAGCTGCAGCAGCAGCGCGAGCGCATGCAGCGCCAACGTCAGCCCTTGGGGGCGACGTTGTTGCAGCAGCATCAGCGCAGGCGGGCGCACGCAGCGCCAGGGGTCGTCGTGCGCGGAGCGCTTCTTTACCGCGCAGGCGCAGGCAGCGTCACCGTCGCGGGCGTATGTGCAGCCCGCTGCAGCAACAACAGCGGTGCAGGCGCACGCAGCGCCGGGGGGGAGCGTAATGTGCGCATGTGCAGCGCCGCCGTTTCGTTCAGGCGCACTCCGCGCCATCATCGGCCGT